CGCGAGGCGTCATTTTATCTTACTCCGTTCTTCCTCCTTGTACCCTACGTGTCCTTTTTTTTTTTTTTTTTTTTCCATTACTGATCAAACACCTCCCAGGGATCCCCTTCATATCCATCTAAACAACGTTCTCTAATTTACCCATCTATGCAATCCCAACCCAACCTCCAACCCACTTACCGACCCAATCACCAGCCCGACTACCTTCTTCCCCCGAATACAACGTACGGTCATTATAGCTGTATGTAGACTGAAAGATGCCTCAAATACAGATATAATGGCCGTACGTTGTATTCGGGGGAAGAAGGTAGTCAGGGCATATACATCCGGGGGGCTGGCTAACGCAAAGAGCAAGCATTTTGCCAGTAGCTGCACCTCCCATCTACTTTCCCCGCCCCAGATGAGGAACATGAGTGTTTATGGTGGGGGGGGGGCCTGGCTAACGCAAAGACCGCCTCTGAATTCATTTCAATTTAAAGGGAGGCAGTGGGAGCTCGTGCTAGGTGCTAGATCTGGCAATATTGTTTGAATACTGAACCCCATCCGCTTCTTCTCCCCCCCCCCAAATCCCCCCTTCCTTCCTGCCCGCTTATGCGGTTGGGAAATCCTACATGTAGGGTTCCTTTTCTTTTTCCCTTTCTCCTCACCTCCCTCTCCCTCTCCCGCTGCTTCCTTCCCCCCCCCCCCCACCCCCTTCCTTTGGGAGTCGTGCCCTATTTGCTGGTGCAGGCCTCGGAATCGCGCAACGATGTCTCAACCGGAGAAGGCCCCTTCCACTCGTGCCCTTGACCGCGAGGAGATGGATCTAGCGGAGATCACAGAGAAGCTGCGGTCTGGATTGGAAATCAAGGACAGAACTTATCTGCTCAAGACCTATAAGTCGTGTTTTGTTGGGAGCGAAGCAGTTGCATTTATGATAAAAAGTGGAATGGTGAGTTGCCAGAGTCAAAAGACAAATTATATCTTCTTTGTTTGTTAAACCACCCCTCCATCTGGGCTTTTTTTTTTTTTTGGGTGCCAAGCATCCCTACTTGATGACAAGGAAAATGAACAGTGCAGGGGCCCATTGGAGTGGGGATTTAACTGCAAAAGTTTGCTGCCTGGGCAGTAGTAGGAGGCCAAAAAAACAAAACAGCTCTTTTTTAAAGTTTTTTTTTGTTTTTTTTGTTTTCGGTTGTTGCAATCATCCAGCTGTTAGGTAAATCCAGCTGGACAGCTCTCTCTCTTCAGAAGAACCTGAGACTACACCCTTTACACTTTTACAGAGACTGGCTGATGCTACCATCTTGCCCGGAATGCAATGCACCCTCTACCGTCTTCACCTGAATTGAACATACGGTAATTATGGCTGAATTCGGGACAACTTGCAGTCTAGATACAACGATAATGACTGTGAGTACTATTTGGGTGAATTGGGGGCAACTTGCAGTCTAGATACAACGATAATGACTGTGAGTACTATTTGGGTGAAGATGGTACTGTCGGCATCTATGCAAGCACCAAGGAGCCTATATCAGTTGGTACACCTATGGACTGTTGATGGCCCAATAAATTGTACCCGTTGGGGGTAGGCAGTCCTTGATGAGAATGAAACGGCTGTGCACAGCACGTCAGGGGCACTAAGGGTGACGCCTGTGCCACTGGGTACCTTTTTAAGGTCTACGGGTGCGGGATGCTCTTTAAGCCATTAACCCTGCGATGAGGTAGGATGGTACCTGCGCTCTTGAGCTGAAATGCCAACTGCCCTACCTTGAGCGTGTACAACTTTATAATAGTTTATATATCGTCACAAACAGAACTGCCCGGTAAACCGTAGGCAGAGAGAGAGAAGAGGACAACAAACGAGGGAGGAAAGCAGGGTTGCATCCCTGCCGACCGCCGACCCGGACCGCCGACCGTATTGCAGCCGACCAGTAGGGCCGACCGGTCGGCGGTCTGCAGACCAGTTAAAAAAAAAAAAAAAAAAAAAAAAAAACCGTCCACTGTTTTTTTTCAAATCTGGTTGGGGGGCT